TTTTTTAAACCTCCATTCTCTCAGAATGTGAGTGGCCTTTTTAAAAATGTTTTTTTTGGGTCAGATGTGGTGGCCCCATCTCCACTAAAAATATAAAATTAGCCGTGCCTGGTTGCGGGTTCCTGTAATCTCAGCTACTTGGGAGGCTGAGGCAGGAGAATCACTTGAGCCCAAGGGGCAGAGGTTGCAGTGAGCTGGGAACACACCTCCATACTCCAGCCTGGGCGACAGAGCAAGACTGTGTCTCAAAAAAAACAAAAACAAAAACTGTTCTTTTTGGCCAGGCACAGCGACTCAACGCCCGCAATCCTAGTACTTTGGGAGCCAAGGCAGGCAGATCACTTGAGGTCAGGAGTTCAAAATCAGCCTGTCTCTACTAAAAATACAAAAAGTTAGCCGGGCATGGGTGGCATGCACTTGTAATCCCAGTTACTCAGGAGGCTGAGATAGGAAAATCACTTGAACCCAGGAAGTGGAGGTTGCAGTGAGCCAAGATCATGCCACTGCACTTCTGCCTGGAGAACAAGAGTGAAACTCCATTTCAAAAAAAAAAAAAAAAAAAAAAAGAAAAAAAAGAGAATAATTAAAAAAAAAAAAAAAAAAAAAAAAAAAATGTTCTTCTAAACTACTTCCCAAGACTAAGCTTGAAGTTAAAATACTATTGGTAATTTTTTTAATGGATTTTTATATCCCATTGTCAAATTCCCAACAAGGTTTTGCCAATTTGTGTCACATTGGATGTTGGTATTTATAATGTTTCCTGATTTAAATTTTTTTAAATTATAGATTTAATTGGTACCTTGTTTCAGTGTATAGTTTTTTTATTACTACTGAAGATAGGGGAAATGCAGTATTTTTTTTTCCTGAAAAGGCAGTATTTTATGAATTTTGAAAGTGTTCATGATCCCTACCTGCTCCTTTTATTCCAAGCAAGGAACTGATTTGCTCTTGGTGTTTTTTTAAATACGGGGTTTCACTATGTTGGTCAGGCTGGTCTTGAACTCCCAACCTCAGGTGATTTGCCCACCTTGGCCTCCAAAGTGCTTGGATTACAGGCGTGAGTCACCACGCCCAGCCTGCTCTTAGTGTTTTATTTTTATTTTTTATTTTTTTGAGACGGAGTTTCCCTCTTGTTGCCCAGGCTGGAGTGCAATGGCGTGATCTCAGCTTACCACAACCTCTGCCTCCAGGGTTCAAGCGATTCTCCCTGCCTCAGACTCCCAAGTAGCTGGGATTACAGGGATGCGCTACCACGCCTGGCTAATTTTTTATATTTTTAGTAGACGGTGTATCACCAAGATGGTCAGGCTAGTGTTGAACTCCTGACCTCAGGTGATCTGCCTGCCTTGGCCTCCCAAAGTGCTGGGATTACAGGCATGAGGCACCGTGCTTGGCCGCTCTTGGTGTTTTATAGTATGAGTCATTGGAAAAACCAAAATGTTTTTTCTATGCTTATACACTCAATACAGCACAGAACACTTCTGTAATTAGATGTGTAGGGGTTTTTCTGCATACACCTAGCAATCAGGTCTACAGTGGACACTGTCTTGGTATCATATAATTCAGTTCAGTTCTGATACTATCCACTGGATATAGCATCAACATTCCACAGGTAAGGCTCGGTCCCACAAGACTGCCTCTCATTCAGCCCCAGGTTGTGACCTAGGCTTTTTTTTTTTTTTTTTTTTTTTAATTGTTGAAGGCAAACTGCAAATGACCTGTGCTTCTGACCAACTGGCTATAAATTGGGGCTCCCGTAATCACCTTCTTGTATTTGATTAATTTGCTAAGGTGACTCACAGAACTCAGAGAAACACTTGATGTTTATTGGGTTTATTATGAAGGTTATTACAAAGGATACAGATGAATAACCAGATGGAAGAGATGCATGGGACAAGGTGGGAAGGAGAGTGGAACTTCCATGCACTCTCTAGGCACGCCACTCTGAGGAACCTCCAACAATCTGAGCCTCTGTGAACCCTGTCCTTTTGGGGTTTTATGGAGGCTTTGTTACATAGGTATGATTGATTACCTATTGGCCATTGGTAATCAACCTATAGTCCCTCTCCACTCCTTGGGGAGGTTGTAGGGTATGGCTGAAAGCCCTAGTCCTTTAATCATGCCTGGATCTTTCTGGTGACCAGCCCCCAAATGAATCTATCTAGGGCTTCCTAGATACCAGTCATCTCATTAAGATACAAAGACATTTACCACTCTGGCGATCCATGTGTTTTAGGGGCTGTGTGCCAGAATCCAGGGGCAGAGACTAAATATGTATTTCTTATTATGTCACAGTTTCACACATAGGGAACAAAGTGTTCTACAAGTGTAACTGATTCTTTCTTGGGTGCTTATGAGGTACTAAGTAATAGAGAGATTCCGTTGTAGAACCTGACTCACCAGTGGTCACATAGGTTGGACTGGACACTTGGGAGAGGGATAGTGATAGGCATATTTATAATGCAAAAGCAATGAAGTTGGCCATAAGAAGATTTTTGTCCTGGTCCAACCTTTATAACCTTAATTTATTCATTTTCCCTCCCTGGATCTCTGTCAAAATGAATTTATTTGAACTCTAAGACCTCTTTCAGTTCTGTAATTTTTAGGGACTTCCTCTATAACTTTCTGTAGACCTTCCTGGGCAACAATGGTAAACTGTGGCTATTTGAGTCACCAGCAAAGGAGTTTTCCAGCCAATGCAGCTGGAAGGATAGATTGACAATCACTGTTTTTTGGAATGGCCATTGTAGCTCCTTTGTAGGTCCATGACAGTTCCAAAGGACTGTGCAGCCTGGGTGCACTGGCTTATGACTGTAATCCCAGCACTTTTGGAAGGTGAGGTGGGTGGATCACTTGAGGCCAGAAGTTCAAGTTATATTGCGCGATGATAGCACCTGTGAATAACCACTACCCTCCAGCCCAGGCAATAGCAAGACCCTGCTTCCAAAAAAACACAACAAGAAAGAAAGCAATATCACAACTTGCCTGAGGTTACTTAGTAACAAAACCAGACAGAGACACCAGTCTGACTCTCAGTTTAATACTCCCAAGATTTTACTTCCCTTCACACAATGTCTTTTCTTTTTTTCCATAGACTTGGAACGCCAGTTGGAGGAGCAGAAGAAGCAAGCCCAGGATCACAGGCTGAAATCTCAGACAGTTCAAAATGTGGTACTGATGCCTGTGAGCACTCCTAAGCCTCCAAAAAGGCCCCGGCTCCAGCGGCCAGCCTCCACCACTGTCTTGAGCCCTTCTCCTCCTGTCCAGCAGCCTCAATTCACAGTCATCTCACCCATCACTATCACCCCAGTGGGTCAGTCATTTTCCATGGGCAATATTCCAGTGGCCACCCTCAGCCAGGGCTCCAGTCCTGTGACTGTCCACACATTGCCTTCTGGCCCTCAGCTCTTCCGCTATGCCACAGTGGTCTCCTCTGCCAAGAGCAGCTCACCAGACACAGTGACCATCCACCCTTCATCTAGCTTGGCGCTGCTGAGCTCTACTGCCATGCAGGATGGGAGTACACTGGGCAACATGACCACCATGGTGAGCCCTGTGGAATTGGTGGCCATGGAGTCTGGCCTAACCTCGGCAATTCAGGCTGTTGAAAGCACCTCAGAGGATGGGCAGACCATCATTGAGATTGACCCAGCCCCAGACCCAGAGGCTGAAGATACTGAGGGCAAAGCAGTCATCTTGGAGACAGAGCTGAGGACTGAAGAGAAAGTTGTGGCTGAGATGGAAGAACACCAGCATCAAGTTCACAATGTGGAGATTGTGGTCTTAGAGGATTAACTGGGGATCTCAGGGTCAGGAGTTATGTTTCGATTTGGAATTTTAATTATTTGTTTATTTTTATCATTGTCCCACTCATTTCCACATAGGACCCTTTTTAAAAAAAAAAAAAAAAACAAAATCTTATTGTTATAACTGAAAATGTTGGGTTCCTCCCACTCCCTCATTGAAGACTGGACAAAACAAGCTGCCCTTTCAGAAGTTGAGAGTAGGTAATTCAATGTCCTAATCATCTTACACCAAGAAAGTAATTTCTTTTAGGGAAAGTGTCAAGATATCAAGTAACCCTGTCCAGAAAGCCATTTCCAGGCTCATCTGTCTGTGTAGGCATGTGGTTTTATTCTTGTAAAGATACATTGACCAAACTCTGGAACACAGATCTGACACTGGAAGGCAACCCATTCGCATGTGGATGCAGAAGGGCACTTTATTTTGTATCCTGAAAAGGGCCTACAGTGGCCAGTACAAAACTCTGAAACAAAAGGAAGTTGACTCTACTTTGAGGGGAAGGTGGCATGCCAGCACTAGCTTAAAAAGGGAAGTATTGGCTGGGCGTGGTAGCTCACGTCTATAATCCCAGCACTTTGGGAAGCCAAGGAGGGTGGATCACAAGGTCAGGAGTTTGAGACCAGCCCGGCCAACATGGTGAAACCCCGTCTCTGCTAAAAACACAAAAATAATTAGCCGGGTGTGGTGGCGGGCACCTGTAATCCCAGCTACACGGGAGGCTGAGACAGGAGAATTGCTTGAACCTGGGAAGGCAGAGGTTGCAGTGAGCTGAGATCACACCACTGCACTCCACCCTGGGTGACAAGAGTGAAACTCCGTCTCCAAAAATAAATAAATGAAAGGGAAGTGCTTCGGCAAATATGGGGCAGGGAAATCATCTTACTTCCAGAGGTACAACTGATGCCTCTGGAGATCTCCAAGAGTTAGTACCATGAGTGCCATTTTGAGAAGAGGCTGGTAATAAGTGGAAGGTGCATCTTCAAAAAGCAAGTGGCAGCAGTGGCCTGTGGCTTTGCAGAAATGGAAAGCCAAGGCCGGTTGTGGTGGCTCATGCCTGTAATCCCAACACTTTGGGAGTCCAAGGCAGGCAAATCACCTGAGGTCAGGATTTGGAGATCAACCTGGTCAACATGGTAAAACCCTGTTTCTACTGAAAATTAGAAGAAAAAAAAATTAGCTGGGCATGGCAGGGGGCACCTGTAATCCCAGCTACTTGGGAGGCTGAGGCAGGAGAATTGCTTGAACCCGGGAGGTGGAGGTTGCAGTGAGCCAAGATTGCACCATTGCACTCTAGCCTGGGCAACAAAAGCAAAACTCCATCTCAAAAAAAAAGAAAGCCATGGATGCTGTAGTTGTGCTTTGGTGTTCAAGGTAATAGCTTACCTTGTTCTACACTTTGTCAAAGCACTTACCCTCCTAAACTAGGATCAGTTCATTCATCTGAAACTGCAATGTGATATAAATTGCTCTGGTTCTTGGACTGTGGCTGTCATAGGGATGGGGTTCCAAGGCCATCATTTTCATTGCATGACTCTAGGAACAGGGAGTTCCTCAATCACACCAGCTGCCATTTTTGGTGGGGCCATTTTTTGGCTTTGGAACCAAAAGCAGCCACTCATTTGATGCTTCCTCTTGTTCCGCCCTCCATCCCTCAACTCTTAATGGCACCTGTCTCCTGGAACCCACGCTCTTCAGCTTTTTGGCTGATTTGGAGAGCCGTGACAGGTGCCTGCTTGCCTTCATCCCCTTTTAGATTCATTTATACCACAGATGTTTCTGTGAGATATTGAGATCATAAAAAGCTTTAGGCTTGGCAGAGAGGACTCAACACCCCCAGGCTTTCCTGAGGCACCAACTACATGTCTCCTGAGTGAGCTGGATGCCCTGGGAAAGAAGCTTTGTCTGCAACATTATATTATAGGAAATGTAGCAGGAATGTCAATAATAATGTTGGGGGGAGGTATTTTTTGTTTTGTTTTGTTTTTAATGTTGTTTGTATATTTAGAGCTGGGCCATTTTCTGTGCTGTGATTCCTTCTCTTGGACCCTCTTCAGTATTTGGGGCAAGAGTGGACCCTGGTTTTTATTTTTTTGATTGCATTGTTTACTGCACTAGGAAAAATATAGGAATATAGGGAAACTACAGACAAATTTAAGGAGAAATAGGTCAAAAAAGAAAGCACACACCTCAGGAGTGGGAGGAATTTTTTTATTAAAAACAAAACTTTGACCTGTAGTTTTTCTTTCTTTTTTTTTTTTTT